CAAGTGGAATCAGGCTCGTTCCCGTCCATCTTTGATTTCCTTTGGAAAGTTCTTCCGTTTCCGCTGTTGTTGATACTCCGGGAAGCATTGTTGGACAGTTGGGTGATTGAAACGTATCTTGATGGACGGATGACGCAGTACAAGACATGGACAGACAGAAAGCATTAATAAAACACAGGGGACAAGAGCGACAGACCTCCATACACAGAAATAGGTACATCACCCGCAAAACCGACTACGTAGACGCAAACAACGCGAAATCGACGTCTTCGGTGACAAGAACATCGGCGCATGAAAGAAAACGGCCAGAAACGTCGGACACCATGCAAAGGGAATCAGACATCGGAACACAAACCACAGTGTGGGGCGAAGCCATCTCGAAGGAACGCGATAGCCAAGAAGTTGATGCTGGAATAGGACCTAACCTGTTCACGCATGCCTCTCTAATTAGCATTCAAACTTTAAACTGTACGTGAGGACAATAAGAACTGCGAGATATCGGCAGGGCTCTTGAGCAGGACAACACTGATACTTGCTTTCAGACAGATATTGAACCATGACCTTGAAGGAAAGTTGTCGTATCGACAATGTCATCGTTGGTCATATCACATGAGCATATTGTACTACATATTCTACATAGACCAACCTGAAAACCAACAAAACAACGACGGGAAGATTTAGAAGGTGGACGGGCGGTGAGCCACGAAGGTTGAGCGCGCCTTGGTGACACGATGAGGAAGGGGGAACTGAAGCTTGGGAACAAGCAATTGCTTGATGTAGGGGCGGCGGACGTCCTCAGACTTCTCAATCTCTACAACGCGGAGGATCTATTTATTTCCAGTGAGCATGCGTTTATGTCGAAAAAAACCTAGTTGGACGCACGTGGATTGACCGGAAACGGGCACGGTGGCGAGCCGCCATATCCTGGTAGAGGCTCTTGACGGCATCAGCCCTGGAAAGCTCACGGAACTCCTTGTACATGTTGTGGGTTCCAGAGCGAGAGTCGTAGCGAAGCCAGATACCAAAGTTCTTGACCTTCAAAGGCTTCTTTTCATGAATCTAAATAAGGTCACATAGACCGGTCAGTAATCCCGCTCCGCCTGCCTCTTGAGGGCTGCAAGGGACATATGATACACACAACATTGACACCTAGGATTTCACCACTAGCTTTCTTGACTTTTTTTAACTGCCTAAAGGCCTTTAAGGATAAAGTGAAGGGAGCGCAACTATCGCCACACACCTAAGGAAATACCAGAAGCGGGACTTGGCGACGACCTCATTAGGCGCGAAGATGCGCATGCGGTAGATTTTGGGAGTAGGCTCAGACTCCGTAGGGAGATGGCGTCCGACGACTTGGTATTCTTGAAGGCCCATTCTAAAGCAAAGACGTGAGATACTCCTGACTAGAATCTGGTACATCCATAAATCCATCACTCCATCCATCCTCCATCCACCAAAATCTGGGTAAGAAATGATTTGGAATGGACGGCTAGCGCAATGCAATAGGCCTGAACAGCATTGTAGGACACTCACATAGTTGTTTAGCGTTGTCTTGAGGTTGTCGGTACACTTGATGTCCTGCTCGATTGCAGAATTTTTAGTCTGTTTGCTCTTGTTAGATTTACATCGGTTCGGCATTACGGCACACTCGAGGACTTCTATTGTTGTTCATTTGTACGTCCTGGCCGGAGATCTACCTACCTACCTACCTACCTACCCTCTCTCTTTACCTGGTATTACATACTCGATGATGTAAATTAATTTTGATGAACTGTGTTGAGGGTGATGGTAAGCAGTACATAAGTACATAAGTACTTATAAGCAGTGTGTCAAATTTGGTCCATGATTGTCACAGCTACATGTCACCCTGAATAACATGCGTTTCTCCAACGTCATTCGCACTCTCCATCGACATGTACATTCCTCAATAGACCACGGCACAATCAATGCCTCAGAAATTGCACACTTCTCTCGTCTTTCTTCGCAGTGGTGGGACGAGCAAGGAGAATTTGGGTTTCTCCACAAAATGAACCCGGCTCGCGTCCAGTTCATACGGGAGAAGCTGGATGAGGTGTCACTGCGTGAACACGAGGGGGAGGAAGCTCCTCCTCCGAAAGGTCTGCGTGGTTTGGATGTACTAGATGTCGGATGCGGTGGTGGTCTCTTATCAGAGGTGAGGATGTTTCACTGGTTCACACGCTGCAACTTGAGATCCCTTCAACGTCGCTTCAGAGCCTCGCACGTCTTGGAGCTAATACGCTAGGAATAGACGCGTCTGAATCAAATATAAAGATTGCGCAAGTGCACGCGTCGGCGGACCCGAAGCTCGAGCGCCTTTCCTACCTCCATACATCTGCAGAGTCACTTCTGGAGACTTCAAAACGGTATGACGTTGTATGTTCCATGGAAGTTCTCGAACATGTCGACCATCCTGCAACTTTTCTTTCTTCATGTGCTGAGCTCGTTAAAGTGAGTTAACAGCGTGTCTTTTCCCATGCAAGACTTGACATATGTACCCCAATAGCCTGGTGGCCATTTGTTTCTTTCAACCATATCCCGCACACCACTCGCTTACTTCCTCACTATCTTCCTCGCCGAGAAAATTTTGCGCAAGGTCTCTGAAGGTACCCATACATATAGCAAATATGTCAAACCTACCGAGCTCGTCTCGTTCTTTCAAAAATATCGGTCGCCCTATGTGGATCCTCAGTATCTCGAGCATGCGACACTGCCAAAAGCGTGGATTACACCTTCATCTTCGCCCGAGTCTCCGCCTCCTATGGAAGCAGAGATACGAGGTCTCATATATCATCCGTTGCAGGCGAAGTGGTTGCTTGCTTCGCGGGATGCATGGGCTGCTACAGATTGTAATTACATATTTTGGGTTCGTAAACCATCTCAGTAAATATAATCATAAAAGTATCATCATTTCGAATTGCGCTATGTACATAGATTGTGCTCAACTTCATGGGCGTGAGATCTATTGATCCAAGATCAGAACTGATTATACCACAACACTCACAAACTTCGCTCTAAAGCTCCTTTTCCATGGCGTCGTCCAGTAGTACGGCCCAGAAGAACTTTAATCTCGCGAATGACATTATAGAAGTATCACCTCAAGATGAGATTTATCGTTTCGATCAAGAGGCGAACAGAAAGCTCAATCGAGAAATGCCATGGACAAAGGAGTGCGTCACCGATTATTACATTCATTTCCCTCACCCTCAACATGTCATCAGTCCACACTATTTCAAGGCGTGCAAAATATCCGCCGTCGCGCTAATCAAGATGGTACGCGATCTACAGTTCTCACCGCGCCACTGTGTGGGATGAATGGCTTGCCACAGGTTAATCATGCGCGCTCGGGAGTACCCCACGAAATCATGGGCCTCATGCAAGGAAAGGTGGTCGGTAGAACTATTGTGGTCATGGACTCCTTTGCTCTTCCAGTACAGGGAACTGAGACGCGCGTAAGTGCAGCGAATGAGGCTAACGAGTACATGGTGGAGTACATCCAGGACAGTGAAAAGGTGGGGGCCTTGTCGATCCACTTGCTTGGCGAATTCTCTCATAAACATGTTTATTGTTGTTCGATTGACAGGCTGGTCGACTTGAGAATGCAATTGGGTGGTATCACTCTCATCCTGGATATGGTTGCTGGCTATCTGGTATCGATGTCAATACACAAATCATCAACCAGAAATTCCAGGATCCGTTCGTTGCAGTCGTCGTAAGTTCTCTATAACTGTACCTTGCAGCCATGGTCCAAGAATTTCTAGATCGACCCGAATCGTACCATCTCTGCTGGTAAAGTTGATATTGGTGCGTTCCGAACATATCCAGAAGGCTACACTCCCCCGAATGTTGCTGCATCCGAGTATCAATCCATTCCCCTGCATAAGATTGAAGATTTCGGTGTGCACGCCAACCAGTACTACCAGGTGGATGTCGAAATATTCAAGTCGAGTCTTGATAATGAGCTGCTTGCGATGCTTTGGAACAAATACTGGGTGAATACCCTCAGTTCTAGTCCGTTAATCTTAGTGGGTCATCCTCGCCTTCTTCCTTCTGAACGAGGAACTGAATAAATTTTGGGTGTAGAATCGGGCATATGCTGTCTCTCAGCTTTCTGATTTGCATCAAAAACTTTCAAAGGCACAATCAACTGTCGGCTCCACGCGAGCTCCCGTCCCAAACGCAAAAGATAAAGAAGGGAATTCTAAGGTGGGGTTCACTTCGGTCTGTCGTGTCTTTTCTGACGGTGACGCGTAGGGCAAGGAAAAGGAGGAGAGGAAAAAGGAGGACAACCAGCTCGCAAAGAGTGTAAAGGATAGGTACTTGTTGTCATTCATTGTCGGTCAATTATGTTTCGGCCTGACAAGGACATTATAGCACGAAGATTGCTGTAGAGGCGCAGCATGGACTTATTTCCCAGGTCATCAAGGACGTTATATTCTCAATGCGTCTCAAAGGCACTCAGTCGTCAGGCCTTTCAAACATTTCTGAGGTCACGGACATGGCGATCGGTTGATAGTTTTTCTGAACATCTAATTTTTCTTGCTCCTTGACGTTTTACTCACACCTGTACTATTATCTACAAACTCAATGCTGTGCCCCGTGTTACCGTGACAAGATATGACTCTCAACTTTGTAAAAATGTGAAAGGGTCTCGAAAGCGATGTTCGGGTGTCAAATGGGCCAATAGACCACTGATGAAGCTTTCCTGACCTAAAGATCCTCTCTCCCCTACATTGTAACTCTGAATCTTTTCCTTCGTATACTAGTGTATACTTTGGCTCGAAGGAACTTGAGTTGAACGATTCAAGACTAGAACATTTTATCGACAAAGTTCTATCACCTTCAAGTGATGGATGCTCTTTAATACATCCCTGGCCTTCTAGGTGGGAAATGTCGTTTCTTACTCTTTCAATTTTTCCTTAGTTCAACGTGCAATTCTGCATAGTATTAATGTATGACTGACTCCGGCACTGACAGACGTCGGCCCAATGGTCTAGTAGCATGATACTCCCTTCGGGATTTCGCGTCTCGCTTGCTTGCGTAAGCTTGGGAGTGGTCCCGGGTTCAATTCCCGGTTGGGCCCGCTTTTTAGCGACTGTTGAATGATGTTTTGTGGTTCAATTATCGTTTTTTATTTTTTTATTTGACTTCTTGACTTTCCGTATGATCAGTGTTTTATCACGCTGTGTTCTACCTAGACGCGCCATGGCATCTCCAGTTTCACCTTCGACCTACGATGGCTGGACTCGTGAAGAGCTAATTGCTCGACTAACAGAACTGGACGCTCGATCAAAGAAACGACCCCCATCCCCAAAGCCTCGCATCAAAAAGACCTTTCAATTCAACGCTTACTCAAGGCGCAAGATCGCATTGAAATTCTGTTACTCTGGATGGGAATATGGTGGACTTGCGTTTCAGAATCAGAAGACTACCCTCCCAACAGTTGAGGGTGTCCTATTCGATGCTCTGGTAGAGGCTCGACTCATTGATCTCGAGGGAGGTTTGGATGGTTGCGGATGGGAGAGATGTGGTCGCACAGATCGAGGAGTAAGTGCCGCTGGCCAGGTCGTTTCGCTATGGGTTAGAAGTGCCCTTAGATCCGAAGTTGGGACAGAGGATAATGCTGCGAAGATTACCTCCTCGACACCGCATAGCTCGGAAACGGCAACAGATCCTGACACCAAACCTTCACCATTCAATCATGTGGAGGGAGAGAGTACAACTCAAGGACTTGAGTTTGGATTCAACGAGTATGACCTGAAGGATGAACCTCTCAACTCGAGCTTATCCAAGTCCACGTCGATACAAAAGGAAAAACTTGAACATGACTATCTTCTTATTCTAAATCGTCTTCTTCCACCAACGGTCCGGATACTTGCCTGGTCTCCTGTCTCTAATGACTTTTCCGCTCGATTCTCTTGCAAGTACAGACACTACAAGTATTTCTTCTCCACGAATACTGCTCCGGGAGGTGCACTCGATATCGAACGTATGCGTATTGCCGCTTCTCATTTGGTCGGGGAACACGATTTCCGGAACATGTGTAAAGTGGACCCCTCCAAGCAAATCACGGTGTTTAAGAGAAAAGTCTTGAATGCCGAAATCGATCCCATATCAGTCGATGCCGAGGGCAATGGGAAATACGTTTTTAATCTTGTTGGCACTGCTTTTCTCTATCATCAAGTCCGCCATATCATGGCTGTTCTTTTCATGGTTGGGCATGGACAAGAAGATCCTTCCGTCATCACTTCTCTAATGAACGTAGAGGAAGGGTTGGAGCCAGGAGCCACTGAGGTTGTTGATTGCAAGCCAGAGTACCAGATGGCTGATGCACTACCTCTCTTGCTTTGGGACTGCGGATATCCAGAAGGAGAGCTGGACTGGCGGACTACAAATGGAACAACCCTTTCTGATGGAGACGAAGGTGGACGATCTGAGCTGTTTCAACAAATGCATTCGATACATTTGCGATCACAAATTTACACAGCGTTGAATAACCACTTCCTTCTTGCTGCTTCACGTTTCCATCAGCCAAAATGCGGTGCCTCCGTGCTTTCCGGTCCATCTTCATCGCTCGCGAAGCTAATGATACCATTGGGCGGTGGAACGTACAAGCGTACAGGTCACGACAAGTATACACCACTCCTGAAAAGGAATCGGTTAGATCATGTGGACATCACGAATGAGCGGTGGAGACTTGGGAAAGGCTTTCGGCGAAACGAAAGAAAGAAAGGGCTTGATGAGGAAGGGAGTATTGATAGCCCTGATGGCAACGAGTAGGCCATTTTTAACACCTGCCGTGCTAATCATACTGTCAAATACGCCGCACTTTAGCAGTGGATCACTCACAGCCACATCGTTTCATTCACGTCGTTATTTCAGAACCCTTGAAACACGACTAAGACCAAACCATGATTCATTGTCGGGCTTTTCGTTAATTCTGTGTCCACCACGACATCAGAAAAAAAAAGAAACCAGATCGACAGTTGCCAACGCTCTACATATAAATCTTCCCAACATTTTGTGATCTTTGGACTGGTTTTATTGTTATTATGTTCACCCGCAGAACGTGTCCCTGTGACCGAGATCTGTCCCGCATTGTATGTGGCTCAATAAAGGCTCATTTTACTCAAAGCTTGAATCAGGATACGCAACGCACAAACACACGATCTGATGATTATCATGCAAACAAAGATGCCAGCACTAGTCCATGGACGTCAGTCAAAATGTTATCTCCATGTCGCTGTACAGAGGACAAGTTATTTACTTCCGTCAGAGCTGTTACACTGTCTCCCTACGTTGAACTTCCGGAAGATCAACTCGGGCTCATAAGTCGTGACATCTCTTCTCTCTTCGATATCCCCCTGATCCAACCAACTCCAATGTTTTTAGCTCGTTCAGAACTATGGCCAAAGTCTCAGGGTGAGCAGTTCGTGCAGACTTGTCCCTTCCCCTTAAGAACTAACGATCCATACTGAAGAGTCCATTGAAAAGCTCATACATGACCGTGTTGCTGTCGCTTTTGTTGCTCTGCAACTCACCGGTGGATGCGGGTTATTAATCGTAGCTCTCACTGCGATTTTTGGACGGGGGGTGAAGCTTAAGCGCCGCCACTCGACGTAGTACAGCTTTATATGCTCTTGGATACTCTCGAGTATTTCGTACACCCTGCTTGCTTTTGCTGGCCAAAGGACCGGACCTGTACCCGATTTCGGCCTGTGCTTAGTACAAGGGGCGCTTATATACGCGGCACCTAGTTTGTGAGCTTCGTAGTCTTTCTCCAGATCAACGCTAGTGACAGGAATACCTTTCCGTAAGGACTGGATGCACGACGTTGGCCCTTGTCATACATGTGGGCATTTATGTTCTTCACTTGTAAAAGAGTCCTTTTTGAACCTTGTCCGCTTCGTCACTGTTAGATGCTTCTGAATTTGCCCACGATCCTGGCATATGAAACTCTCGGAACAGACTCTGATGTTGTGATTACGGTGAGTTTACCGTAGGCTCAATCATGATGGTACTGTCCTGACAACATACCAGTTATTGATCATCGTCGCTGTTGCATATGTCATGACTTGGCAACATGACCAGGCGTTTGATATGATCTTAGCGACATGTAAGTAGATTTTCCCGGAGGCCTTTGTCGCCCTGACTGGCTTCCTTTGAAGTACCCGTACTGGTGTTCTTGATATTTGGCAGTCAAATGGTCTGATGCGCCTCTACCTCTAGGTCACAGGGAACTGACGAATCCTCCAGGACCTTCTGCGAATCTGGACGTTTCGTGGCAACAAAGAACGATGGGCTCCAGAGAAGCCTTTGATTTTACATAGTCAATATTCTTCTGTATCAACGCAGACTTCTCTGTGAAATCCAGACCCTTTCCTTGGGGAGTTGATTTCACCACCAGGACAAAATACCCTGTCTATTACGTCATGTACCGGTGCCTTCAAAAGCCTCCCGCGATGGATTACGACACATCGGCCTCACCTTTGTCCGATAGAACTTCAGATAGCAGTAGAATAGTATGTTGGCTCGACAGTTATCAAGTCGTTTTCGTTTTCGTGTTCGCGTGTTGTGGAATACCCTCGGAAGGAAGCCGTATAACAGCGTGTCACATTGCCGGTTGTCTCTCCGCTTCGGCACATACCCTGGCCCAGGAACGTCGAACAAGCATCGAACGTATGATTAGGTCAAGATTATGAACATTATATACGATGTTACATGAATGTACGTGGGTAAAGAGTTATATCTGATATGCAGTGAATAGAAACACAATTATCAGTGAATGGCATTGTACAATGAAAAGATTAGGGATTAGAACGAGGACTTGAAGACGGTAACGGTATATAATAGGGAGTGCTGGTTGGATGGGCATACAGACCACGGATTTGTGAATCAACAGAGTGTCGTGACGTGAAGGCATCCAGCAGATCGGCGTAATTCAAATTTCAATCAAACAGGAACCACACAGTGTCACTCAAAACATAAATTCACCCTTTAGTACACTCCTGTCAAGGACACGAGGTACATACATAAAAACTGAGCAAGGACTTTTATTGAATCTGTGCACAACAACTTGAGACTAAATTGCAGTTATAGATTAAGACCGAGAACAATTCATCCAGCAATTGCAAAAACTTTTCCTAATGATTGAGCAATTGCGACGTAACACCAGAATCACATTTTGCAGCTCCCTGTGCTGAGTACGTCGTCGTATCAGATCAGCTGGTGGTGGTGATTATCGGTCCGCGTGCGAACAATCGGCCGTGGACAAGTGATACGATCACAAGCATACTTAGCCAATTTTGTCCTGCCAGAGAGCTGGGCGGTGCCGGTGAGCGCTGAGTGTCCAATTGTTTATACAGCACAGCCATCCAACAACTATGTACTATTCTTGCACCGCCCTTTGTGTGGTCCCTGTCCCTCAAAACAATGTCAACTTCACGGTACAAAAGAACTGAAAAACTGAGCATTCTTGATCAGAATGGACGCCCCGGCTGTTTTGCACCAGCCTCAGAGGGCACTCACACCAGAGCCTAGAGAGAACGAGTATCGGAGATCTATCGGTCGTCCATTGAAGAGGCTTTCGTCTAGTGGTGCGTGCAGTAATTGACAGCGACCCGTACAATTTGTTTGATGAGTCGTTAGGAACAATACAACGAGAGGCAGAAGTTGAGGCTTTCTTGACGTTTGAAGCGCGGCCTACATCGCCATCAACAGAAATGGATAGGGATACGCGCCTTGGTTGTTCACTATCTGTGTCGCCCGAGGTGACTATTGATCCTGCGAGTGCTAGTCCTCCGAAATCCTCTCAGTTGCGTAGCAGCCTGAGCACTGGTCCGAAGATTGAGCTTGAAGTAAGCAGTACCTCAAAACACCGTATTTCTTACCAACTTTTTTCTCTCGTTGCGATAGCAATATGAAGTTTTCAGGGGAATTGATAGAAAGGACCTAGACTCTTTGGGTGAGATTCGCGACAGAGCATTTCATGTAAAATGTTCTCTTGCATTGATACTTAGCTTCACCTCGTTTACTCTTATGAATGACAGCTCTTGCTCGAGAGACAAATTGGTGGCCAGACTC